TTTGAATATATGATTTCATAAATTAATTTATTTTCAGTAGTTTTGCTTAAAAAAATGTTGTTGCACGCCGCGTATACTTAATGCCACTTTATCCTTGAAAGGACACAGCATATTTAGCTCATTAGGCGAATCGATTGCTTGCATGTGCTGGACTTGTGTGGCATGCACTTAGCGGGACTCTTGCGGTCTCATTTATGAACTGCACACACAGACACAGACACACACACACACACACATAGTCAAACACACAAAATGCGGCTGGAGATTTTGCGCGAATGATGCGGAAAACCGCATGCAGTGACCAGGCAAAGTCAGTTAGCTGCTAATAATTTATAAGGCTCGGCCAAGTGAACTGCAGTCTATTAGCGTTAGCCAAAGAGGTGAGCAAACGTGGCCAGACAAAAGGTGGGGCGCTGCCCGGGCCGGTGGGGGCGTCGGGGCCGCAGTCAATAAAAGTCAGTGGAAGTCAGTGGTCCAAACAAGTTGATGATTAATGCAAGTTGAAATGCATGGAGCTGCTCTCGCTGCCCTCGCTACGATACCCAAGTGAAACTGGCCCGGCCGAGCCCAGAGCTAACCAAGCAAAGTTCATGTCTTAGTGGCAACGAAAAGTTTTTGCAACGCGCTCAATGCCGCAAAGGGCAGCAGGGCAGCCAGAGCAGGAGGCAGCAAGGCAGAGCAGGAGGCAGCAGCAGTGAGAGCCGGAGTCAGAGGGCATTTCAACAGTTGCACTCTTGTCTTTGGACTGTAGCTTTATAATCAAATCCGTTGTCGGTTGCCTGCTACCGGTTTGGCGCCCTCGCCACGCCCTCTCAACTCCGCTCTGTGCTCGGTGGGAAATGTTCAAATTGTCTCCAAGTGTCTTGTCTCGGCGTTCTTAGTGCCTGCCTGCTGCCCGGCCTGCCGGGTCTGTCGGGTCTGCCGGGTCTGCTCGGCCTGCTTAGCAATCCGCCCACATACACATTAGGCAGCAGTGCGGAAAGCGGGTGTCACGAGTGGAGAGTTGACTCGACTCGACTCGGCTAGGGTCGGAGCTCTGTCTGCAGCTAGGGCTCTTGTTCTTGCTCCTGCTTTTGCTCCTGCTCTTGCTGCGGCACCCTTTTCACAGTTTGCGAAAAATGATTAATGCGATTTGAACTTTAAATTTACATTGTGTTCATGATATTCAGTTGAATTTATGAGCGCTGTTTGAGTTTGTAAATGAGTTGCTCATTTAATGCCCTAACAAGCGCCCTCTTGCCCGCCCCCAAGACTCACAAACTACATAAGTAACTCGGCTCGGCCGACCAGCGGGGCGCCAGCCAAGGCTGAGGCGTCCATTGGACTTAGCCAGCGGCAAAGCGGAATTAATGATTGTATTCCATTTCAGTTTGGTGTTTCGGCCCATTCACCGTATATATGTATGTATGTATGTATAGATATGTATGCAGCATATCATAGATTAAATGAGTTATCCGTTTGGCTGCCAACGTCGCCTTCCGTCCTGCTGGCCAATTCAGGCAAATAAGTGGCTTTTATTGTTTGGCATAATCCTGTTACCATCAAGTGCCAAACATATAAGGTAGCACAAAGTGAGCCAATTCACGGAAATGCTTGTGCTTCGAATAATATGCACACGCACACACACACACACACATTTATTATGTATGTATGTTAACATGTTAGCAGCAAATATTCAGGTATTCTTTGTGAACACCTGTCAACGGTGAAAATAGTCGAGCAGATTCGATAGTCAGCGCCAAGTAATCAAAGTGGCTGCAATCGTTAGGTATGTAACATGACCTGGCTTACATGTAAAACCAGGAAGACTAACTGTAAACATCTGTGCAAATGCATGACAAATATGAAGCTGCCCAAGACTGGAGTGTGGAGTGGTTTCTCTTCAAGTTTCTACCTCCTATCCTCCATCTTACAGTTTTATTATGCATATATTATGAATTAAATCGAATAAAATTTGTATATCGAATAAAATTTGACCAATTTTCTACGTATTCTATTAAATATTTTTCAATTTAGTTAAAATGCTTTCAATTATACTAGTATTAT